AGGTCCAAAACATAACAACTCCGCCATCTTTCACAAGGTGTTCTCATGGGGAGCTTTCTATTTGTGGTTCCTTCGCATTCAAAATGAGTTGAGTGGCCCACCAAGGAGGGTCCTGGCATTGCATCCACCATGCATGGCGAGGGATCCTGAAAGGTGCTCAGGAGTGCAGAACAGATCACCTGGGTGAGGACTCTTTTTAAATTCCTAAGAGAGGGTTCATGCAGAGTGACTAACTTGTTCTGGCTGGCCTGGGGCTGTCTGAGTTTTAAAACTGAAGGTCTGGTATCCCTGCAGCCCCTCAGTGTCAAACTGGGACAGCTGGTCACCCTTCTGGATGAGCACATCCTCGGGTAGAGCAGCAGAAAACCCCTAGTTCCTCTTCCTTCACCTCAATGTCTGCCTTCTTCTGATCTTCTTTTCTCATATGCAGCTATGCAAGGTCCCCTCCCTTCTCAGGACCTCCTCAGGGACAGGCCTTCCCAGAACAGAGCTCCCAAGGGGCTTGTCACTGTGGAGTCTTAGGACATCCTCATCCTCTCCATGAGTGCCTCATGTGTGTCCTGTCCTATGGCCCTTCCCCTCCCTCACCCCACTCAACACACATGCACGCATGCACACTCACATAGACACACTCACATACACTCATAACAAACTCATGTACACAAATATATGTTCCACTCACTCATGTTCACACATATCTGTACACTCTCATACACATAAACATACTCACACACGTGTACTCATACCCCCACATACATAAACACATGTATGTGCTCTCACATACACAGTCTCACATGCTCACATACATGAGCAGAGCCCTATCCCACTGGGTGATTGTCCCCCCAGGGCTCCTCCTGCTTCCACCCTACTGAAGGCCTCCTGAATCCCTGAACCCCCTCATTGTCTCCAGCTCAAGGCACCCATTTCTGGTCTTGTCCTGGCTGACTCAGGAAGCAAAACCAGTGCCTAGTGCAAGCCCCCCCGCCCTCGATGGTAAAGAAGGAATTGCTGCCCTCCTGCCTGCACCCCACCCCACATGCCTCCACCCCCTAAAGCCTAGCAGAGAACCTGGCACAGATCCAGAGCTCAGTGCACGTCCCAATGCTGGCTAGAGCACCCCAATCCTTCCTCCCCCATCAGTTTATTAGTGGGGCACCACCCTCTTCTAGGACAAGCTGTTAGAGGAGGGGTGTTTCCTATAACCCTGGGAATTAGCTGTCCCCACGACCATGAGCCTGGCTGCCTGAGTGATCCAACTTGATTACACTCACCTCCTGGTTTCCTCTCTACACACATCCCTTTGGCCAGATGGAGGGTGTGGGCACTTTCACTGGAAGTCACTAGGTGGCACTAGGTGGCACTAGGTGGCAGTCCAAAGGTCTGGCACAGTCTGGACAGCCTGAGGACCCACAGGGTAGGGGTTCCCACTCTGGAGGCTGAGAGGTGTGTGACACACTTCACTGGCATAGCACCATATGTGTGCCTTGAAAAGATAACATGGGAAACAATATAAGGATTATGAGAGCCATTTGGAGAAGGAAGGAAATCATCAGAGCACTCTTTTGAACCTAATGTAACATGTAGTGTACATATGCATGAGATATACTCCATCCAATCACTTAGATGAAATATTACCTTCTCATAGAACCAGTTTATTATTATTTTTCTATATCAGGAAAAAGAGCCTTTTGCTGGGGTAACTTGTCACTTTAGTAAAATCGAGTGGATTTGCCTCTGACAGACAGATCTCCAATCACCTTCAGGGCTGAGGTTTTCATTGTTGTTTTGCATTTATTTGTGTCATGAATAACTGCAATTTTTAGGCTGTAATTTTTTTTTTGGTACCAGGGATGGAACTAAGGAGTGCTTAACCACTCAGCCACATCTCCAGCCCTTTTTTGTATTTTATTTACAGACAGGGTCCCACTGAGTTGCTTAGTACCTCACTAAGTTGCTGAGGCTGGCCCTGAACTCATGATCCTCCTGCCTCAGCTTCCCAAACCACTGGGATTATAGGTGTGCACCACCTCATCCAGCTAGACTGTAATTTTTTAATCAGGCGAATGATCCTCATACCCTTGGCCAACCCCTGTGTTATGGGGTACATATCTATTATGGGGTTCATTATTAGTAAGGTCATCAATAACAAAAATGTTCTACTTAGTGCTTCTGGAGTCACTGCCATGGCCTTGTGGGCTGTGAGGAGGGAAGCAACACATTAAGTTAGCTGACAAAGCGAAATTGGGATATGTTGTGATCCTTACCATAGATAAAGAACAGTATAAAGTTAGAAATGCAGTAAGTTCATAAAGCATGTCCATGGAAAAATACAAGCTACAGCTGGAGAAGGAGGGACAAGGGATGATGGAAATTCAGGAAATGGAGAGTCAATGAAATAGTGCAATTTGGAAAGCAGAAATGCTAAGGAGCGATTTATGGGGTGAGACCGGATGGGTGTGCAATGTGATATGACAGCTAAATAAGCAAGGGAGAGTTCAGCTTTTGTAACCAGAGTGCCTCGCCACAGCCAGTGGCATCTGGTGACCATATTGCAGCAATTTGTTGAGCACCTACTGTGTGTTGGGCACTTAGCACATGGTCATGCCGTACTTCAAAACCCTGGTAATGTGGGTATTATCAACCCTGTATACAGCAAGCAAAGTGAAACTCAGAGAAGATAAGTAGCTTGTCAGGGTTACAGAGCTAGAGAGTAGAAACTGGAATTGAACCCCACAGCCAATCCAATTCCAAAATCTCATCTCTGTACTTTGTACCTGGTCACACACAGTGGATGAATCCATAGGGAACAAGGGGACACTTCACCTCACTGACCAGTTCCAGCAGGAGCAGGGCAATGGCTTCTATCTGTAAACTCTGGAAGGTACACAGGACTGGGAGACAAGCCTGGTTCAAACCCAGCACTCCCCTTCACTAGCTGTGTGACTCCAAGAGTATCACTTAAACTCTCTGTGCCATAGTTCCTGCAAATAGTTCCTGCCAATGGGGATAATACTATCATCCACACTGAGATATTGTGACAACTAAGTGAACATCAGGGTTGGCTCCTGGTGAACTGTATGGCTCACTCAGTACATGATACTACTAGTACTAATCTTATAAGTCAGCCTAGAAATTGTTAATAGTTTTGTTGTTTTGACTCAACTTGTCATCAAAACCAACTGATCAATCTCCTGCATTTGAAATATTTGTAATATTAAACCCTGCTCAGCAGGAAGACGATTGGAATATCAGGAATGAATAGTTAGTTACTCTGCAACAAAATGGCCAGGGTTGCCTTCAACAACCTGCACCTCCTCAGGATTCACAGTAAGCACCTGCAGTCTAAGAACATCGGGTTCTTAAGGTGACAGAGAAGTGATGGTTCCAGAACCCATCCCGAATGAAGTATGACTGAGGGAAGTGAAGGGACACAGGCCTGCCTCAGAGGACCTTGGACGTCATTTCTGGATATTTGACTAAATGCAGGAGAAGAAGCTCTGTGCTTTTCCTGAGGTGGAGCCAGAAGGAAAGAAGGACGGGGTGGAGGGGCAAAGGGACAGTAGTGAGTGAGCCCCTGCAGGTTTCAGTGGCTTTGCTAGCAATGTATATACACTGTTTTTCAACAACACTTCAGCCTCACCTGGGTATCTTACCATGCAATTCAGTGCTGACACTAATACCCAGAGTTACGGTAGGCCTCACAGGTGAGGTGGCTCAGTCCCACAGGATTCAGCCATTCTGTGCAAGTCCTGGCTCCCTGGCTGCCAGCACTTGAGTCTGATTTGGCTACAAATTCAAGGATTCTATTTAGCCATAAGGAAGAATGAAATCATGTCATTTGCAGGAAAATGGATAGAACCTGAAAGCATGATGTTAAATGAAATAAACCACACAGAAAAGTCAAAGGTCATATGTTTTCTCTCATATGTGCAAGATAGAGATCTTCATGGAAGATCTCATAAAAACAGAAGAAAGACCCATAGAGTAAAGGAAAGGGACCAAGGGAGGAAGTGGGGGAAGGAAGGGGAGATATTGGGGATCCAGTGACCCAATTCTACCATTACATGTGCACATGTGTGAATGTGTAACAAGGAATTCCACTCTTATGTGTAATAATAATATTGCAATAAAAAAGTTTAAAAGAAACAAATTCAAGGGTTCTCACAACCCTACTTATCAGGTTTGATAATTCACTAGAATAAATTACAGGACTCAGGAACGTGTTACACTTGTAATTACGGTATTATTATAAAGGAAGAATCAGATGGAGGAGATGTCAATAATAAAGCATAAAAAGTGGGGGTCACGGAGCTTTCATTCCCTGCAGGCTGCCTGGAACACATTACCCCAGGGTTTTGTATGGGATGCCATGTGTAGGCATGAGTGAGTGGCTAAATCATTGATCACATGATTCAACCCAGTCTCCAGCACCGTTACCCTCCCCAGTGAGATGGCACAAGGCTGAGAGTCCTGACCTTCTCATCACAAGTTTCATTCCTCTGGTGATCAGTCCTCATCCCAAAGCTATTTAGCGTCCCCCAACCCCACAACTCATCTTACTAGCATAGACTCTGATATAGGAGGAAGGGTTTCATTATGAATAACATAAAGCACTCTTATGATTCAGGAAATTCCAAGGATTTTAGGAGCTCTATGTCAGGAACCTAGGACAAAAACCAAATATATATTTTATTATACCACAGACACACTTTAACCTCCCTTCTGTCCCTAACATGCTGGATTTAGTAGTTCTAAAACTGATTAGAAGGTGCACTTCAGTTCCATGTAAGAAAATACCTTCCAGCTGAAGTTCTGCAGCAGTTTAAGAGGCTGCAGCCAAAGGTGTGAGCTACCTAGATCAGGGGGTGATGCCGTTGTGGCTGATGACCCACCTGGGGTGCCGAGGAGGGAATGTCCCCACTGTGGGGCAGTCTGGCCTGATGCCCAGTCATCACAATTGTGGTGACACAGCATAACGTCATTGTCTTGCTCGATTTCAGAGTCGAGAGGCGCTTCCGTTTTGGATGAACAGCACAGGCAGGCGGGAAGGCTGGCAGCATGGATGGCACGGATATGACAACGAGCTCATGGACATGAGAGGCATCTTCCTGGCCTTTGGACCTGGTAGGCAAGGACATGACCCAATCCTCTTAGCTATTCCCAGAGAGGTGCTCTAAAAGGGACTCTTCACCGAGTGATCTCTTTATGGACCCTCTTTATGAGCCAAGCTGAGCAAACCCAGCCGGTCTCCATGAAACATCTTTTGCTGGCTTCCTTTCAAATGCTTCTTGGGTTTGGCAGTTGTGGCCAAATACTTTTCCTTGTAAATTTTAAATCCTGAGTGCAATGAAGAAAATGTATTCCACATGTTTGTGATTCATTTTTTACTTAATTCATCAAAACGTTGCTTCACAGCTATCTGAAGTCCAGGAAAGCTTACGGGATACCATGTTGCTGACAGCTGTGTTTCCAAGTTGATGCAATTGCTTCGTTTGCTCTGACCTTTACATGGTCCCTCCCTGTCTAGAGCACCCACCCCTGTGGGTTAATTCAGTTTAGGGCCCAACCAGAAGCTGGGATGTGTGCAAGGGCAGGCTCAGAAATGACCTTGGGATTGACTCTGAGCCAGAATGACTAAGGAAGTCTTGGATGGAAGTAAATTTGCTGAACCTTCTTTAATCAGATGGTATTCCAAAGTGCTGGAGGAAAGGGGAGATGGAGAGGGCCTATTTGGTCATTTGATTTAATTGATAGGACACTGTAAATTCACACTTTGGAAAAGTTTACCAAATACTCTAACTACACATTACTATTGAACACCTCATTCTTTCAAAATAAAAAAGGAAAAAAAGCACTCAATAGCCACCAACCATCAGTTGATTAGTTCATAGTCTACTCTTCTTCCTTACTAATGTCCATCTCTCCTCTCTAAATATAATTACCCTAATGTTTATATCCCAAGTGCCTTTTTTTTTTCGGTCCTAGGGATTGAACCCAGGGATGCACTGAGCCAAATACCAGCATATATATATACATACATATATATTTTGCTATATATATTATGCTGTATATAATATGTGTATATATATTTACATTTAAAAATATTTTTTAGTTGTAGATGGATACAATATCTTTATGCTCTACTTCTGAGCCACAACCCCAGTTCCTGGACTGAAACATTTTTATCAACATCTAGAAAAAGGCATCTGGGACCAGGCACAGTGGTGTGTGCCTGAAATCCTAGCAGTTTCGGAGGCTGAGGCAGATGGATCACAAGTTCAAAGCCAGCTTCTGCAACTTAGTGAGGCCCTAAACAAACTTAGACCTTGCCTCCAAATTTACAAAAAAGAAAAAAATTATATATATATATATATATATATATATATGCATATATATATATTTATAAATATATATACTTATATATATAATTAACCCCTGGTGCCTGGTCCCAGATGCCTTTTCTAGATGTTGATCAAAATGTTTCAGTGCAGGGACTAGGGTTGTGGCTCAGTGGTAGAGCGCTTGCCTCACACTCAAGAGGTACTGGGTTGGATTCTCAGCACCACATAAAAGTAGATAAATAAAATAAAGATATTGTATCCATCTACAACTAAAAAATATTTTAAAAATGTTTCAATCCAAGAAAGTCCGCATGTCCCTTTCCAATTATAGGTTGAACATCCCATCTGTACACTCTTCTCTTCACTGTAACAAAACCAAGGACAAGTCAACTTCCCCATGTCCCTTGGTCTGCCTTGGATCACTCTACTTGCCACAAAATCTCTCTCAAGAACAATGAGGTGTCAGTTTCTGCAACCTCCAGGAAAGCCTCTGAGAGTCTGAGTCTGGGGGATACATTGGTCCAAAATCTTTACCTCATGTGACCCAAGTTCCCAAGTCCCAAAGTGGGCATAAGAGCCAGCAGCAGCAAACATACATAGAGCACTAGCTGCGTCCATGGTGTTGACCTGTGAATTCACAGGTTGTCTGAGCACATTGCCATTGACCAGTGAAAGTTATCAGGTGCCCCCTGTTAACCACGCCCTGGGTCGTCATGCAGAGCTCTGAGGTTAAAGCAATTAAGAATGGAGACTCCAAGACTGGGGTCAACTGTAGATCCATAGGAGATGGTCCAAGGCTTTTGACTTCATAGGGGAAAACACCAGTAATCAGGGCTTTCAATCAATAAGCGTTGCCTCCTCCTTCACTAGAAGAGGCAAGTAATATCGTGAATGCAAAACACTTGTCCATTGAAGGAGTGTATGTGAGCAAGAGTCTTACACATATTTTAAAGCAGAACCAAATCTAGCCCCAAACCCAAATTTCTACGTGAAGTACCCAAAGCTGCATTAAATTAGAGTTAAATTCAATGGGGAGATTTTGTCCATTAACCAAGACCTCCACTATAGGCTCTTTTAAAACTAAAAGTCCTTGATCTTACCAACAGAAAGACAACCCCTGATGAAAATGGACTGAGCTAATTGCAAAAGGCAGATACAGCCTTGAGAGCCTCTCACAAACTGTCACGTTTCTGGCACCAAGTCTCATGAAAGATTAAACAGCTTTGCACATGGACTGTTTACTCAGAAGGAAATTTAAGAGTGAGGCCTTTAATAGCTATCTAGCTGCACTTGGAGATAAAGGTGCATCCCTCCTGATTAATTGTCTGTGCTTCTTGCTTAGGGAGGGAGCTGGGCATTACTGCGGCTGCCCCAATAACCAGCCTTAGAAGTGAGTAAATCTGGCCCAGCAAAGAGAAAGGGAAATAATTCTGAAGATAGCTTCTCTGGTTAATCCCGGTTTCTAATTTTTGAACAGCCTAATCTTGCCCTAGAGAACTCTGCATTCAAGATAAGACAGCAGGAATGCAATTCACACAGCCACCATGAGCAGCGAGCCTCATTCAAGGTGGCCAGGCACAGCATAAGCTTGCAGATCCTTCTCTCTTCGGGAGATACCTTTTATATCCAGAAGTATGTAAACCCATGGGAATAACATGGAGTCCCATTCTAGGTTCAGAATGCCATTTTGAGCTAGTGGAGTTTATCGGGGTTCTCCCAAACTGGACTGGACATTGTTCAGCTATTCAAGAATTTTCTAGAAGCTTTCAATCTAGCCTGGATCATCTCTACATTTGGGCCCCAAAGTTCCATTCCCAAAGAACAAGGAAACCATAAACTAGATGGGAAAGAAAACCCAATTCTCTTTCCTGCTTATGTGCACAGGATTTAGTTTTGTACTTTGAAGGGAAAATAGAAAAGATAATCTATCCTAACACTTTTGTCAGAAGAAGCTGAGCTTGATTTTTTTTTTCTGTGAAGTGTTAAAAAAAAAAAGTGGATTTTTGAAAGGCTAGGGAAGGACAGCTCTCATACCCTACCTCCCACATGTGACATACCACGAGTGATGGGGAGTGTGACTGTCACATCCAGGTCACATGGTGAATCAGAAGGAGAGAGAAGAGTGGCTTCCATACCACTGGGACAAATGTTCCATTGATTTCTCAAGCTGCAGTGGATTCTTCTGATGGGGAAGTGCAGTCACCAACCTTATCTATTTAAAGAGGGTGCTGAAGTAGCCCCTTCATTTCTCCTTCAGGCGGGTTATTAATTTTTTTGAAACTAGTTTTGACTTTGAAGTAGTGCTGACCCTTATCCTTCCTGCTCCAAAAATACTCAACAAACAAACAAGAAAAAAAAAAAAAACTGAACCCTCTAAATAACTTTTTCTCTTTTTTTTTTTTTTTGTACCAGCAATTGAACCTAGGGGCACTTAACCACTGAGCCACAGCTCTTTTTATTTTGTTATTATTTGTTTGAGACAGTGTCTTGCAAAGTTGCTGAGGTCCTCACTAAATTACTGAGGCTGGTTTTGACCTCATGATCCTCCTGCTTCAGCCTCCCAAGCCACTGGGATTACAGGCATGCACCACCATGCCCAGCCTTCTAAATAATTTATAAGGCAAACATTTTCAATCCAAGGTTTTCCCTTGCTGGAAATTTATTATACATGTTGATTGATAACAATGGCTGCCATTTATTAAGCACCTGCAGTGTGTCTAGACCTAGGATCTGGGTACCACTTCCTGTTGAGCCCTTGCACCTCTTTACACTTAATTCAATCTTAATTCTCCAAAGTAAGGAAAACCCAACACATCAGAAGTTGCCCTGGATCTGACACACCGTGTGACAGAGTTTTCTGTATATAACTTTCTTTCATGTTTGTAATCCCAGGAGCAGAGGTTGGTGTTGGTGCTTCAAGAATATGTTGCTATTGTTGTTTGTTTCCTTTTTAAGTAGCCTATGTGATCATTTTAGCAAAGTAATTATAAAGGTTATTTTCTGAGATAGAGACTTGATTTTGTAGTCCCACCAAAACAACCTATTTCTTTTAAAAATCTTGAACTGAAAGCACTGGCTTGTATTCATGAATCAAATCTCTTCTGTGAATTTAGCCCTAACGGAGCTTCGGGTATTTTGTTGGGGACCTAAAAACAAAGTTGCTTGTTATTACTACACTCTTATTTTCACTCTTCAAATTGAAAAGTGGTAAAAAAAATTTTTAATTTGTTCTTTTTAGAGATACATGACAGTAGAATGTATTTTGACATATTACACATACATGGAGTATAACTTATTCTAACTAGGATCCCGTTCTTGGCTGGTACATGATGTGGAGTTTCACTGGCCATGTATTCATATATGAACACAGTAAATTATGTCTGATTCATTCTACTGTCTTTCCTATTCCCATCCTGCTCCCTTCCTTTCATTCCCCTTTGATGGACAAGTGCTTTGTATTCAGCACCTCATTCACCTCCAGAGGAGAAGGAGAAGGTGATCTCGATTAAAATCCCTCCAATGGCTTATGGTTTATCAAGTCACCTTAAGTGCATCTTAGTGACCGGTCTTGCTCTTTACACTCTAGTATTACAGCCCAAGTTTGGGGTAGGTTCTGAGTAGAGGCACAGAATTAGATCTTCTAAACCTACTTAGAAAAATCTTGTCATTCCTGGTGAGCTGGCAACACCAAGGACATGATACAGCTTCTCATTCCATCAAGAGGGACCTTTATGTGGCAGGAAAATGGAGAAACATTCTTGAGTTGCTATGCAGCAGATACCGGCACCCTGGCTCTCAGTCCAGCCAGAAAGATGTTCCAGAACATATGTGTACAATTTAAGGGGAGCCCAGGAAGACAATCTATCTTCTCTGGCCACCGTGGCTCTCCAGGGCTCTGTAGAAATAGTGCAGCTTCAGCTGGGCCTTCTGCCCCTGCAGGAAAGATCTGTTGTCACAAAGGAAGCACAGTTAGGCACAAAGAAAGTCTCTTGACTTGTCTTTTAAAGAGTTCATCTATGAGCCATCGAAAGCTATGGCTTTTTTTTTTTTTTTCCATGACCTAGAGCTTTTCACATTCACATTCACTTGGCCACACCCATTGATGGAGAGGATTTTGCAGTCTCCAAATTGCCTGGAGTCTGAGTAGATTTCTTCCATATTTGATTCAGCTCCTCTCAGTTAGGTTACCAACCGTGACGACCCGCTTGTTTTCCTTTTCCTTCCAGATTTCAAATCCAACTTCAGAGCTGCTCCCATCAGATCCGTGGACGTCTACAACGTCATGTGCAGCATGGCTGGCATCTCCCCGCTGCCCAACAATGGGTCCTGGTCCAGGGTGGTATGCATGCTGAAGGACCCGGCCAGCTCAGCCTCCTCTGTCCAGCCAAACAGCTGTGCACTGGCCTTGATTCTCTTCTTCCTGTTTGCATATTGATCATATTGTCCATCCCAAAAATGCTGTCAGCAAAGTGTGCCTCCAAAGTGGAATGTTTCCCAGTTTCTGTGTGAATAATAGCTTCATTAACACAATCAAGGCCATGTACACTGTAAATATATTGTTCTAGGATACTTCTACCCATAAATGTCCATACTTTTTTTTTTTTTAAAAAAAAGTTCTAAACTTTGTTTTTCCCCAAAGTAGGCAAATCCTATATTTTCATTTGTCTAGATTTATGCAGTTTTCTCCTTTCTTTTCGAATAATTCCTCAAGATGAGCTACTTGAGTAGCTCAGCACTGGTGTGTCCTGAAGCAACCAAACTTGGAGTGGATAGTCTGTGCTCATCCTGGGTCCCTCTCTGTCCTGCCTTGCACAAAATTGCTTCTCAGACCAGGCCCTTATTTGTTCCCTGTATACACTCAGGAGCCATCCTTGAGGTCTGTGACCACAATCCTGTACTGACCCTTCCACTCCAGAAAGGAGAAGTTCTACATGAAAGCAATGTCTGCTGTTTCTGACCCAGCTCATAGTTTTGCCATCTTATACAAAGTCCCAGGAAGGACATATCCTAGCAGGGATCATGTATCAACAAAAAACCCATGAGGACTGGAGAACTCATAGAACAAGGTGAAAAACCTGGGTCCCCTCCCAAAGTCTTAGTGCTCAATACCTTCTCCCTTCCCTTGAAGGGAAGAAAAGCTAGGAACAGATATGCACTTCTATGAGATTTATCACACAGAATATCATGGTATGAAGCCTTGGAAATAGCAGACCCTCAAGTTAAAGGAGTGTTAGATTGCCTGCCCACCCATCTGCCCATATGACAACTTCTTCAAACACCACCACTCTTTGGCTCCTGATTTGGGGCAAACAACAGTAATATTTGTCATGCCAATTCAGAGCAGGCAAAGAGAATATGAACATGCTAGCAGAAATCTTACTTCATTGCTTGGACTGGTGACACATTGGACATAAGCTCCATGCACCAGTAGCCCTGAAGCAATACTTGCTTAACAGCTGCAAAAGGAAATCCTTGTATAACATAGAGTCCCAAAGGAAATGGCCGGGTTCAGGAATGGGGAGAGCCTGACGGAGCTGGATCCCAGTCCCTGACCAACTAGCCATTTGAGTAAAAAACAAACATCAAACTGAAGGTCAAAGTGCCACTTCAGAGACCTAAGTTCTTTAGAAGTGCTTGAGACTAGCCCCTGAGCCTGAGTTGATATATTTTTAGTTTAGTGTCCTAAGTTTGCTGTAGGAGATCTTCAAACGATACCTGTATTTTTAAATGATTAGACTCTCGTGTAGCCCCCATATATGATGGTTTGGCTTAATGATTTTTGACCTGATGATGACATGGAAGCACTACCTATTCAGTATAAATTTCCCTTAGAATATTGAACTTGAATCTTTTCCAGGCTAGTGAGATGCCGTATGAGACTGTCTATAATGCTGAGTGGCAGCTCCAGGCAGCCATGAAGTCATGGGGTCAATAACTGATACCATGAGGTTCAGCAGGTTTGATGTATTAAATGCATTTTTTAACTCACTGATGTTTTTAACTTATGATGGGTTTATCAGAATGTGATAAATCTTAAGTAGAGGAGAATCTGTATATGAATCCCAGTATTGCTTTTAAAATGTTTCCCCTGAGATGAAACACATCTGCACGTGAGACTCTGTCAGGAGGCCCACACCTCAGGGCTCCTCAGGACAAGGAAGCCCTTATAAGGTATTTATCTTGAGGAAGGAATATCAAGCCTCATCTGATTCAGGAAGATGGGGAGGCTTCTCCATGCCATGAATCATGAGAGCAATGGATCACTACTTTGAAATACTGAATTGTTCCTCACAAAAGATTTCTAAGGATTTGTGAAAGGTGTTTTTAAAGCTCCAGCAAACATTGACTCAGTCGGAAAGGAGGCAAATCAGCCTTTGTTGTGTGGCTGAAAGCAAATAGTACTCTCAGAACATGGGGCTGGTGGTGGAGACAGACATCTATTGTTCAAAATTGGCTACCTCTGTAAAGGAAGGTGGTCTGTTGAATTCTATGGAGCCCACTTCCTGCCCTGGGAAGGAAGGATCTCTCAGAGGTATCCAAGCAATTAAATAAAAGTGCATCCTCAAAATCAAGAGGGGATAAATACGGACACAGTCTTGCCTTTCCTGTTCCGTTCTTCCCTTTCTTTCCTGTACTCACCCTTAAAAACTTCAAGGCACATAACAAAATTTCAGCTATTTTTCTGAAAAAGTATAATTTCTCAATAAATAATGTTGCACAAATTAAAGAAAATAAGATACCAAAGGAATCATGAATACTGGTAAATAATTTTAAAAATTCAGAATCTGAATTTTTTTAAAAAAAAACTTTTTTGCCTAATAATGCATACATTTGAATGGCTGAATTATTGGCTCAAATTTGTTCCTTTTATTTTTGTTTTAAATTTGCATTATTTTTCCCCAGGAAAATTTCACCTTTCTAAATATTTTTTGTTCCATTGGCGTAAAATCTGCTAGGAATAGGTATAGACGCTTCCCTCCCTGGATTATTTCCCAACTTTTCTGCTAATTCCAGAAGGAAGATAATTGGGTTAACCCACCAAGGATAAATGAAAGGAATTTTCCTTAAACTATAGATGATGTGAAGGGAAACTTTCTCCACCCACGTATCTGATCTCCAGAACTTGATTCCATAAGTGCTAAAGTTCTATAAGATTCCAAGTTCTAAAGACCTAATCATAAACCAGAAGAGCCCAGGCAATTCTTTCTAACATGGGAGTCCTGAATTATAAAAACTGAGTTCTCTTCACTTTTAGAGGGACCTTAGAAATCCATATCAGATCTGAGATCAGTGATAGACAATACTTTGCAAACTTTCTCGCCTTTCAGGGCTCATCTGACCTACCATAACAGCTACAGGCTCGGAAAACCTGGAATAGGGCTCAGACAACACTTTTCAATCACACTGATCCAAGGTTGGGTTTTCTCTGAAGATAGATGAGCTCTGATTTGATCCTGACAGACCTGAGTCCCCCCGCCCCCAAAGCTCTTTGATAATTTGTGAGTTTCTCCAGAACCATTGGGCTGACATTGGCCACTTACCTCAGTTGATCAGGTGTCCAGCCTCCCCTAAACCAAAGTAGATATATGTGTCAGCCCCTGTAGTGGAGGGAAGGACCAAAAGACCAACGTGGCTTCTCCACACCCCACTCCTTGTGGCTCTAAGATTCCTGACGGTGCTATCAAACAAGTTTGGACATTGTTCAAGACACACAGGTATCTTACACATTTTCCAACAAAGTGTTTCGTATTTATGTAAATATCAAGAGATTTCCAAATGTGATTGTGTGTTTTATCTTTTTAAGCAATTTGTGAAAGACCAAAGTCAGCTTCTGTAAATGGCTTGCTAGAAAAAAGAGGGAGGCGATAGCCTTGACAGACTGGTTTTAAAACATTTGAAACTTTGTCTCAGGTATATGCTGTGGAAAATAAACTATGTTGCTTTGAAATCATGAAGCAGCACCTATTATAGTGCCATAAATGTTTAACAAATGTCCCATAAATACGTGTTGAATGAAAAAAAGAATAAATGTCATTAGGGAGACCCGTTCCTCTCTCTTTTCCTGTAGCTCCTTTCATTAAATGAATTTTCCACTTTTAGCTTGCTTTCTTTTCTTATTAACTCAACTGACATATAATCATACCTTAATTCATAGACCAAACATATTTTATCCCAGGCTTATAAATTAGATGGAAGGAAGAAAAGGAGAGAGGGGATTTGATATCAAGTATCTCAACTTTACAAAAATGTAATAGCTTTGAGCCGGGCATGGTGGAGCAGGCCTATGATCCCAGTAGCTTGGAAGGCAGAGACAGGAGTATCACGAGTTCAAAGCCAGCCTCAGCAATAATGAGGTGCTGAACAACTCAGTGAGACCCTGTCTCTAAATAAATTACAAAATAGGGCTGGGGTTGTGACTCAGTGGTTGAGTGCCCCTGAGTTCAACCCCCAGTACCAAAAAACAAAACAACAAAAAAAAAAGTGATAGCATTGAGACTGAAATCATATATCATATAATGCATCCATTTAAAGTGGGCAATTCAATGAATTTTCACATATTTACTGTTGTGCAACTATCACATAATCACTTTTAGAAACTTTTTATCACCCCAACTCTAAAATCATTAATATGTTAGCAGCCACTCCCCACACCCTCCGTAAGCAACCACTAAGCTACTTTCTGTCTCAATAGATTTGCCTATTCTGTATATTTCATAAAAATGAAATAACATAGTATATTGTCCTTTGTGGAGGACTTCTTTCACTCAGCATAACCTTTTCAAGATTATAGCTTGAATCCATACTTCAGTTCTTTTATTTATAAATAATATTTCATTGTATGGATATGCTGCAATTTATTTAACTGTGCATCCATGGATGAACATTTTGTTTTTTTCTCACTTTTTAGATATTACAAATAACACTTCTCTGAATACTCATGCGCATGTGTTTATGTCACATTTTCATTTCTCTTGGTAATGCACCTAGGTGTGGAATTTCTGAGTCATGACAACTTCATGTTCAACTTCTGAGGAACTACAATTTTCCAAATTGGCTTCCCCATTATGCATTCCACCAATAATATATGAATATTCCAATTTCTCTGCATCCTTTCAATACTTGTGATTATCTTTTGTTCTTTTTTTAAATTGTAATTTGTTATATGTGACAGAATGCATTATAATTTATATTACACATATAGAGCACAACTTTTCATATCTCTGGTTGTACACAAAGTAGAGTCATACCATTTGTGTCTTCATACATGTACTTAGGGTAATGATGTCCATCTCATTCCACCATCTTTTCTACCCCCATGCCCCCTCCTTCCCCTTCCTTCCCCTTTGCCCTACCTAGAGTTCATCTAATCCTCCCATGTCCCCCCCCCCCCGCAATCCCATTATCAATTAGCATCCTTAAATCAGAGAAAACATTAGGCATTTAGTTTTTTGGGACTGGCTAACTTCACTTAGCAATATATTCTCCAACTCCATCCATTTACCTGCAAATGCCATGATTTTGTTCTCTTTTAATGATGAATAATATTCCGTTGTGTATATATACTACATTTTCTTTATCCATTCATCACTGAAGGGCATCTGGGTTGGTTCCACAGTTTAGTTATTGTATGTTGTGTTGCTATAAACATTGATGTGGCTGTGTCCCTGTAGTATGCTGTTTTTAAGTCCTTTGGGTATAGACCAAAGACAGGGATAGCTGGCTCAAATGGTGTTTCCATTCCCAGTTTTCCAAGGATGCTCCATACTGCTTTCCATCTTGGCTGCACCATTTTGCAGTCCTACCAGAAATGTCTGGGTGTGCCTTTTCCCCCCACATTCTTGCCAAGATTTACTGTTGTTTGTATTCTTAATAACTGCCAACCTGTCTGGAGTGAGATGAAATCTTAGAGTAATTTTGATTTGCATTTCTCTAATTGCTAGAGATGTTAAACATTTTTTCATATATTTGTCGATTGATTGTATATCATCTAAGAAGTGTCTATTCAGTTCCTTGGCCCACTTCTTGATTGGGTTATTTGGGGTTTTTTTTTTTTTTGGTGTTAATTTTTTAGTTCTTTATATATCCTAGAGATTAGTGCTGTATCTGATGTGCATGTAGTAAAAATTTTCTCCCAAAATGTAGGTTTTCTATTCACCACATTGATTGTTTCATTTGCTGAGAAGAAGCTTTTCAGTTTGAATCCATCCCATTTATTGATTCTTAATTTTAATTCTTGCATTATTGGAGTCTTATTAAGGAAGTAGGAGCCTAATCCTACATGATGGAAATTTGGGCCTACTTTTTCTTCTAGTAAGTGCAGTGTCTCAGTTTAATTCCTAAGTCCTTGATCCACTTTGAGTTAAGTTTTGTGCATGGTGAGAGATTGGGGTTTAATTTCATTTTGTTGCATATGGATTTCCAGTTTTCCCAGCACCATTTGTTGAAGAGGCTATCTTTTCTCCAATGTATGTTTTTGGTGCCTTTGTCTAATATAAGATAACTTGTTGTTATGTGGGTTTGTCTCTGTGTCCTCTATTCTGTATCATTAGTCTACAAGTCTATTTTGGTGCTAATATAATGCTGTTCTCGTTACTATTGCTGTAGTATAGTTTAAGTTCTTGTATAGTTATCCCACCTGCTTCACTCGTCTTGCTAAGGATTGCTTTAACTATTCTGGGTCTCTTATTTTTCCAGATGAATTTCATGACTGCTTTTTCTATTTCAATGAGGAATGTCATTGGTATTTTGATTGGAATTGCATTAAATCTGTGTAGTGCTTTTGGTAGTATGTTCATTTAGACAATATTAATCCTGCCAAGAACAAGGTAGATCTTTCCATCTTCTAAGGTCTTCTTTCTTTCTTTAGCATTCTGTAGTTTTCATTGAAGACATCTTTCACCTCTTTCATTAAGTTGATCCCTAAGTTGTTTTTTTTTTTTAGGGTATTGTAAATGGGGTAGTTTTCCTCATTTCCTTTTCAGAGGATTTGTCACTGATGTACAGAAATGCCTTTGATTTATGGGTGTTGACTTTATTTCCTGCTACTTTGCTGAATTCATTTACTTGTTCTAGAAGTTTTCTGGTGGAATTTTTGTTTCTTCTAGGAGTAGAATCATATCATCAGCAGCTAGTGCTATATTTGAGTTCTTCTTTTCCTATCTGTATCTCTTTAATTTCTTTCGTCTAATTGCTCTGGCCAGTGTTTTAAGAACTATGTTAAATAGAAATGGTGAAAGAGGACATCCCTGTCTTGTTCCAGTTTTAGAGGGAATGTTTTCAATTTTTCTCCATTTAGAATGATGTTGGCCTGGGGCTTAGCATAGATAGCTTTTACAATGTTGATATATGTTCCTATTATGCCTAGTTTTTCTGGTGTTTTGAACATGAAGGGGTGCTGTATTTTGTCAAATGCTTTTTCTGTGTCTATTGAGATGATCGTATGATTCTTTAACTCTATTGATGTGATGAATTACATTTATTGATTTATGTATGTTGATCCAAACTTGCATTCCTGGGATGAACCCCACTTGGTTGTGGTGCATGATCTTTTGGATAAAGTTTTATATTCAATTTGCCAGAATTTCACTGAGAATTTTTACGTCTCTGTTCATTAGAGATATTGGTCTGAAGTTTTCTTTCTTTGAGGTGTCCTTTCTGGTTTTGGAATTAGGGTGATATTGGTCTCATAGAATGAGTTTGGAAGTGTCCCCTCTTTTTCTACATGAAATAATTTGAGGAGTATTGGTATTAGTTCTTCTTTAAAGGTCTTGTAGAACTCGGCCATGTATCCATCTGGTCCTGGGCTTTTCTTGTTGGTAGGCTTCTGATGGCATCTTCTATTTCATCATTTGAAATTGATCTGTTTAAATTGTGTATATCAACCTGATTCAATTTGGGCAAATCATATGACTCTAGAAACTTGTTGATGACTTCAATATTTTCTATTTTATTGAAGTACAAGTTTTCAAAATAATTTCTAATTATCCTATGTATTTCTGTAGTGTCTGTTGTGATATTTTCTTTTTTAACCACATATGTTAGTAATTTGAGTTTTCTCTCTCCTCTTCATTAGCATGACTGTTTGTCAATTTTATTTAATTTTTCAAAGAACCAACTTTTTTTTTTCTCAATTCTTTCTTTTGTTTCAATTTCATTGATTTCAGCTCTGATTTTAATTATTTCCTGTCTCCTACTTTTGGTATTGATTTGGTCTTCTTTTTCTAGGGCTTTGAGATGTAATGTTAGGTCATTTATTTGTTGACTTTTTCTTCTTTTAAGGAATGAACTCCATGCAATGAACTTTCCTCTTAGTTACTGCCTTCATAGTATCTCAGTTATATCAGTGTTGTATCAGTGTTCTCATTTACCTCTAAGAATTTTTTAATCCCCTCCTTGATGTTTTGCAATCCATTGTTCATTCAGTAGCATACTATTTAGTCTACAGGTGTTTGAGTAGCTTTTATTTCTTATTTTATCATTGATTTCTAATTTCATTCCATTATGATCTGATAGAATGCAGGGTAGTATCTCTACTTTTTTGTATCTTCTTAGAGTTGCTTTGTGGCATAATATATGGCCAATTTAGAGAAGGATCTGTGTGCTGCTGAGAAGATAGTGTATTTTCTTGTTGAAAAATGAAATATTCTACATGTCAGTTAAGTCTAAGTTATTGATTGTATTATTGAGTTCTATAGTTTCTTTGTTCAGCTTTTGTTTGGATGATCTATCCAATGGTGAAAGAGGTGTGTTAAAGTCACCCAGAATTATCATGTTTGGTTTGTTAGACTCTTGAACTTGAGGAGAGTTTGTTTGATGAATGTAGATGTTCCATAGTTTGGGGCATATATATTTATAATTGTTATGTCTTGTTGGTGTATGGTTCCCTTGAGCAGTATGGAGTATCCTTCTTTATCCCTTTTGATTAACTTTAGCTTGAAGCCTACTTTATTTGATAGGAGGATAGAAACCCTGCTTGCTTCTACAGTCCATGTCAGTGGTATGATTTTTTCCAACTTTTTATCTTCAGTCTGTGGATGTCTTTTCCTATGAAATGAATCTCCTGGAGGCAGCATATTGTTGGGTATTTTTATTTTAATCC